TTTTTTCACGGCCCCATGGCTGTGAATAGGTGCCTTCAGCTAATTTTATGAAAAGGGGCTCTTTCCAAGGCTAAGGTAGAGTAGGGCTTCCTGTAAGAGAGAGAGAGAGAGAGAGAGAGAGAGAGAGGGAGGGGGGAAAAAGTGCTGCTCTTGATGCAATCTTTTCCTCCTCCTCCTTCTTGCCACCCTCTTTCTCTCCTGCCAGCCTCTGCACCGCAGGGGGAGCGGGGAAGGTATAAAAGCCTCCCCCCCCCGGCTTGGTTACCATTGGTCGGCCGTACTCAGCCTTTGACCATCGGGCTGAGAGGCACGGGGTCATCCCGCAGTCCTTCCCATTCCACCGGACCGCATCCCACCCCCCGTCCCACCCCCTGCTCTCCGGTTGGGCAATGCGTGCTGAAGGGGGCACCCACGCGAAGGGTTGGGATAAAGGATTTAAAAGCGATGAAGCCAACGTCCCCCCTCCCAACCTCCCCCATCCGCCCCCCATCCACCCCAACACCGTCAGTCTGCCTCACTGCCCCTCATCCACCCTGTTCCCAAATTTATGCCCCACATAGGGATTTAAAATATCTTTATCGGGGGAAGGGGGGCTCAAAAAGGAGGTTCCTGAAAGGGGATCCTGGGGAAGGTATTTTTACCTCTGCTGCTTTATTTCATTACATTTTGAGGGGGCTGTTGGCTCACTTCTCTCCAATCTGCTCAACCGAAGGGGTGGGACAGCCTCCATCCCTGGTGGGAGCTGAGCGTTTGCATGTGTTTAAGTATGGGGCAAACTGAGCAAATGTGTACCTGGGGCTTTACAGTCTTTCTGAGAAGAAGTCTTTCCTTGGAAAGAAAAAAAAAAAAATTCTGCTGCAAAGTTTCATGGGCCCCATCGAATCTCTTTGGCTGTTTTTTAATTTATTATTATTATTTGGGTGGGAAAGAGGGAAAAAGCAACAGTTTTGCTCCTATGTTGCACTGCCCAACATCTCCTGCTGTTACACGGAGGTGATGTAAATAAAACAGGATCTGATACGGTTTAGGAGACATCCAGACTTTGGTCACCCCTCTGTATCCAGTGCTGGGACTGGGCCAGGGATGCCTTTATGCTGGTAATTTCTCCATCCAATCATTTAATGATTAAAGGCAGATACTGCTGAAGCTGTGCAAGAAGAAAACTGTTCCCTCCCTCCAGCCTCAGCTCAAAGTTGGCCCAGCAGGACCTCAATCTTATGGCCACCAAGACTATGATGGATGTTCTTCTGGATCCCTGTTATCTACAAATTAAATCCAATACAATAGGATCCCCTAAATCCAATTACAGCACTCTGCGTCTGCTTCGCTGCTCCTTTCTGGGAGGATAGGAGTTGCAAGTCTTTGCAGTCATGAGCATCAAATGCAACTCTAAAGAAGAGTTTCCTCAAGTAGAGGATGTAACCCAGCTCCCATGGCTCTGTGCAAGATAGGAGTGAGGACAGATGAGGTGAGCAGAGCAGGCTTGTGGGAGCTGAGCAGTTGAACTGTATGGCTGAGGTCCCTCTAAAGTCACAGTGAATCAGACAATCATAGAATCATTAAGGTTTGGAAAAGACCTTTGAGATCACCAACCCCAACCCACCTCTCCCCCACTGCCCACATCCCCTCAGTGCCACATCTCCATGGTTCTGGAACACCTCCAGGGATGGTGACCCCACCACCTCCCTGGGCAGCCTGTGCCACTGCATCACTCCTTTTTTTGAAGGACAAATGTTTCTTAACATCCAATCTGAACCTCCCCAGCATGCCTTAAGGCCTAAACCCTGTCTGGAGCTCCCAGTCATGCACCAGAGGAGAACATGTGAGAATTTCCTGATTTGCATCATCCCAGCACTTTTCTTCCCAAGCAAACTGCCCAGTTCTCTCCCTACATGAAAAAGGTCTCTCTCTCTCAGCCTGACTCATTGGGTGCTGAGGATCAGGCCCTCTGCTTTTAGGTCCTACCACCAATGGAAATTCTGATTTATGCGAGGCCAAACAAGAAACAGCTGAATTTGCTCATTTTTTAGGGTGGTGTCCCAGGAAGATGCTTTTATCCTCTCTATTCATCCCCAGACATTGTGTATTCTCTCAGCCAAGGTTACAAGGCAACTCTTCCCCTCTCTGCAGACCTCTGAGAGAGAGATGAGCTCTTCTGCATGTCCAGATGCCTGCTGTTGTTTGTCCAGTCTCTTCCCACTGGAGGGCACAGGACTCCATTCTCCTGCAGATCTGTTCCAGGCATCTTTTTTTATGTCAAGGCAAAGGTAATTCGGACATCTAAGTTTTGTTTTGTTTTTCTTTCAGATTGTATCCACGAATGTGTGTATAATGAACTCAGAAGGAATGCAGCACTAAAAGAAGCCTTTGTAATGTTGCTATTTTAAGGAGACCCTTGGGTATGGCACGTGTTGAACTGAGTTTCTCTAACGTCTTACAACAAACCAAAATGTTTAGATCCCCCTACTGATGTGAAAGTGCATTAAAAAAAATACATAATCAATCTAAACTGGCTAAGGTTTTGACCAGGAATTATTGCTCTTGTGTATTGTAGCTAACTTTTACATGGCCTAATAATAAACATCTCCTCGTCCCAGCTGGGAGAATGTTTCCCTTCTGCTGGAGATGAGATCCCAGCCTGGATAAAACACCTCTTGTCCTTTCTCTCCTGGGTCACTCAGGTTCACTGAAACATCACGACTTACATCAGCCAAAGCCTTTGATCAGGGAGGGAAAGGTCTGACATGGATGGGGTTGACAGCCACGCTGCAAAAATCCCTCATTGTGCAAGAAGCCAGTCCAATGACTGAGTGTCACCAAGGGTGAGACAGCCTTTTCTGCACTGTTTTCACTTGGCTATTGCTGGTGTTTTGTTTGCAAAGTCAAGGCCAAAATATACAAGAAGCAGCTTTGGACACGTTGCATTTGTGCATTAAGCCGGATAGCCATGATGAATTTCTGGCCATTTTTGTTGTATGCGTTGTAAAGAGCAAAATTTTGCTGTCAACCTTCTATTTTTGCATGGTCAGAGAGGAGAAGGAGTAGAATAGAGGTGTAATTGACACTGTTTGTCCAAAGCTGAAGTCGTAACTCCTGGCTGAGATGACTGGAAGCTGTGTGTGTGATGGCTTCTTTGTTGGCTCTTTAAGAAAATATCTGCTCTGGGTCTCATGGACAAAACCCAGGGTGAAAAATCCTCTCAGTGCAAAATGAGAAGCCAGATGAAAAGCCCAGAAAAGCTGTGGATGCTCCACCTCTGGAGGTGCTCAAGGCCAGGCTGGATGGGACCCTGGGTTTCCTGATCTGGTGGGTGGTAAACCTGCCCATGGCCCAGGGTTGGGACTGGATGACCTTTGAGGATGTTTTCAGCCTAAGCTATTCTATGATTCAATGACTTTCTCCATTAGCATCCAGCACTCAAGGAACGGGGTTGCTTTGGAAATGAATGTCAGAATAAGGAAAATAGGCTTTTTGTACTCACAGAAAACAAATGCTCAAAAAGAATGAGGGTGAGAGTCAAAGCTATTAAAACACTTCCTGGGACAGTATTTTGGTTTTCAGCAGCTTCCTCTTCTGTTTTGTTTCAATTCCTTCTAAACCCTGCTCCTCGTCCTCCGAGTGGTATGAAATAAAAAATAGTAAGAAATAGATTTTTCTGTACAAGAAAAATTCAAAAATAAATAAATAAATAAAAACATATATTTTTTAAATTACATTTTTTCTGCAAAGGCTCTTTACTTCTTTAAGTACACAGAAATAATTGTGATATGTGGTCACAGATGGGCTGTATGCCTCTTCTAATGCCCTGCAGTATGGTTTACAAGGTGACTCAGTAAATGGGGTGAAGTCAACACGGTGGAGTTGGGTGCCCTACATGAGAAGATGATGCAGAGGATGTGTCAGAGAGATCACAGAGCTGAAAATGGTTTGGGAGAAGAGAGAGATGAGGCATGTGGAGTTGAAGTCTTGGGTTAAGATAGACAAAGGAGTGTAGGAGGTGACAGATGAACCCAAAGGCATTTTGCATCTTAAGCAAGCCAGATGGGCTAACAAAGTCAGCAGTGGAATTGTGTGAAGTGGAATTGTGTGAAGCCACAATTGTCAGTGGCTTCATACAGTGACCTTTAGCTAAAACAAAGTTGTACAGAAGGAGCTCAGGGTATGCAAGTAGGTGAAGGAAAATCCTCATCAGCAATAGGCTTAGCATCCATTTGGTTGTGTTTTCATACAGACAAGGTGGGGCAGACAGGTTCTACAAAGCAACATGTTCTACAAAGCTCATCCCATCTCTGTTATTCTTCTTGCTGTAGGCTGATGGTTTGGACCCAGATAGACACAAGTGGAATGGAGATCAGAGCCCTGGGCTTTTCCCTGCAGAGCAGCAACTGGTGCCATTTCTGGCTTATTCTCTGTTTTTCTCTTAGTGAGGGTCTTTTGTTATTTATCAGCTCCTTCTTTCAAAACAGCAACCTGGGAAATTTCATAACACTTTTCATATATGGTTACTGTGCCTGTGGCTCTCCACAGCTTAGCTGTTTCAGTGATATCTGCACAGCATTCCTGACCTAAAGGAGAAGTGAGTGTCTCGAACCTCCTCGCTTTTCTCCATATGCATAAGATCTTTTTTTGCTCTTAAAAAACCCCAGACCCTTCTCCCCATCGCATGGCAGACCGGGTGTCCCTGGCAGCACACCTGGACTTGAATCGATTTTTCTTCTTTCTGTGTGTGTGTGTGTTGTCATCCAATGCACGGCCAGAACCAAGGGCAAACTCCAGTTGGGAGGTGAGCAAGGAAAACCCCTCCAAAACAGCCAGGAGCTAAAATGATTTGGCAAGATTTGCAGGAGAAAACTGCCAGCAGGGAAAGACGAGGTGGGAGCATTACTCCAACAGAAGAAGCTCTGATTAGCAGATTATCACTTAAGTGATGTTGATCCCAGCCACGCTGCCTTCCAAATGAGCCCTTTCACAGCTGCCAGCTGCGCCAGGGAGTTGTGAATGTAAATGAGTGGGCCAGATCCTCTGCTGGCATCCATCGAGGCAGCTTTGATGGACCGTCCTGGATCCACAACAGCTGGAGGAGTCTGGCTGTAGCGAGAGCCCGACTTGCTTTGCAGATTTCTTTGAGAGCCTGTGGGAAAGGGCCTGAAGCTGGGCGTACTGCAGGATAGGGCAGCATCAACTGCACATCTGGAGGGACCCTCGAGACTTTGACTTCTGCTGCCAGACAAAGCCTTCTTTGTAAGTAATCATTGGTTCTATCTTTTATTTTCATGATTTTTATTTTCCGTTTCAATTACCATCACTAATTAATTAATTGGCGTGTTTATTTATTCATTTTCATTTACTTTCTATTCCGGAAATCAGATTGGAGCAATCAGCCCCAACCTGATGCCAGGCAGGGTGCAAAGCAGGATGTCAGAAGCCAGAGCCTCCTTATCGACAGCCGTAAGAGATCCTTGATGAGTCAGATAGGGAGAAGATGAGATAATTTGTTACATTTTTTCTTTTTTTTCTTTAATAATATTTATTTATTTCCTTATTTATTTTGCAGTTGCTGAGCTTGTAACCTGTTCCCTGGTACTGTATGCCAGCACATATCATCTTGCCCTCATAAAGCTCTGCTTATCTCCATCCAGCTTGTTGGGCTGAGCGTGTGGGAAGCATGTGAGGGACTCTCATGAGCAGCCTCGCGTTCTCTGAGCTGTTTTTTTCCCCTGGGGGTGAGCTTTCCCCAAAGTGCACAATCCATTTCAGTTCAGAGGTGATGGCCTGAAACCTGCAGAGCTGGTGGTGAGATGGGAACAAGCTCTCTTTGTGAGGCTGCTCCAACTTGCTGGTGTGCCCCGTGCACTGAATGAAATCTTTCATTTGGTTCCTCAGAGAGTACACGAAGATCCTCAGCTTTTGTCCTGAATGGGATTGTAGCCCAGTCCAGGGAAAGATCACAAATACTGAGCCCTGGTAGTGCTTAGGTTATTGGACTGAATCTTGCTTTGTTAGTTAACCATGCTGTGGACTTGGATTTTCAGCCGAGGAAAGAGGCTGCTGAAGAGGTGTGATCAAAAGGAGGAGGTGGATCTGTAAAAATGATGATGAGAGTAATGGGGAATGATTATTGAGTGCATCTCCTAATAAAGACATTGGGAACACAAGACTGAAATTTTTGGGACAAGCAAAGCACAAACAAGAAGAGATGTTTGGTTTTTTATATAATGGTTGTTCCATAAGTAATGCCTCCAATTTTATTATGTTGACCTACAGTGTCAGAGGTGGATGTTGGTAGTATGGCAGTAGAGGTTGAACCTTCCAACCAATTCCCTTCCATCCCATTACATTTTGTTGCCGTGTGACAGACAGCAGTAGAGGGGTATTGACAAAATGATGTCTGACATAGAAATGCCTATGAAGCAAAAGTGTATCACTGAATTCACTCATGAGGAAAAAATGGCACTCACTGAAATTCATTGATGCTTGCTGAATGTTTATAGAGGCCAAACAGTGGGTGTGAGCACAGTGAGGCACTGATGACAGCAACCTGAAAGACAAGCCACATTCTAGACATCCATGCAGATTTTACAAGTTGGCATGCAGTCTCTTGTTCATTGCTGGCAACAATTCATAGATAATAGTAGTGGCTAAGTTGAAAAATAGTGTTTTGTAGCTGAGAATTTGCTCTATCAAATACTTTTATCGTGCTCTTTGTATCTGCTGTAGTTTCCTTGGAAATAAATGGGAGGCATAACTTTCAGAGACGTCTACATATATAGAAAAGATGATTTTCTATTCTCACAGAAGGCATACTCAATCTCTGGCCAAGTCCATCCAATCTGACAGACTGGTTTTTGGAGAATGGTGACCAAGAATAAGTTCCATGTCCCACATGCCACCTGATCATCTGCACTGCTTCTTCTCCAGCAGCTCATGAGACATGTGCATTCTAGGTCTGCCCCAGCTTGTGTGACACCTCTCTGGTGCTCAGATGGAAAATCATGGCTTGGAGAGTGAGGATAGCTTGACGTTCTGGCAGACATGGCTGCAAGAGCATTCTTTCTCCATTTGCACGTGTCTCTGAAGGACCGGTCTGATTCTGGCTCCTGCCAACTCAGGATATTCTATGATTCTGTGAACACTTTTATTGGCAAGTCAGCCATAAGAAACAACATATTCTCAGACAATCAAGCCTCCAAATTAAGATGGGAAGCCTTGTTGTGAAGGAGATGCTTTTTTCCTACTGTAGAAGGGATGTTCAATGTTTTAGTGACAAGGAGTAATTCTTCAGCCTTAGAGAGCAGAAGGAAGCAACAGTTCTTGGGACACCTGACTCCATGCTTCATGGAAACAGAGACAAGTATGAGATTTCCTGCTTAAAAAAGCAGGAATAGATGTTTGCCTTCTGTTTTTCATAGAATCATTTGGGTTGGAAGAGACCCTGACCATCAAATCCAACCCCAACCCAACCCCACCATGCCCACTGACCACATCCCTCAGTGCCACATCTCTACTGTTCCTGAACACCTCCAGGGATGGTGACTGCACCATCTCCCTGGGCAGCCTGTGCCACTGCATTACCACTCTTTTGGAGAAGAAATTGTTCCTAATATCAAACTTGATTTTGGTCAAAGTTGCCTCTTCTAAGTTTTACATGGAGCAGGGTATAATTTTTCCTTTGCAAAACTCAAGCTTTCTTATTACAATCAATCTTGAGAGAGTTATTTACTGAATTATGGTGCTCAGAAAATTGATGCGTGCTATAAGGATATCTGTTCAATGGGGGCACTTCACAGCCTGGGAACTGTCCCTTAAGATGTCTTATTTATAAATTAGTAGCCAAGGAAGATGCCAAGAAGTGGAGGAGCCATGTTATCCAGGAAACCTATTCTTTTCAGGTTTCCACACTCTTATCAGTTTTGATGAAGCTGTACTCTTCAGCTGGAAAATACCCATCAGATATCTGCCCAGCCTTCTGAGTGTGAGACACAGGTAGAGAAATGGTTAATCTTATATTCTCCTATTGTCTGCTATTTAGAAAAGAAAGAGTTGTGATGGATGAAAAACTTACTGGCCTCCTTTAGCCCAAAGAAAAAAAAAAAAAGCTGTTACAAAATCACTGCAAGATCATTAATATTTTAATTTAAAAAAAAAAAAAAAAAAAACCAACCCTCATTTATTTTCTCTGGCTTTGTGCAAGTGCACACATCTGTCATCTGGGTACATATTTCCAAAAGAGAAATTGCATGCTCCTTTCTGGTCTCTTCAGAACTACAAGTGGTTTGGAGAGCATCTGTTGGACAGCTTTCTGGGTTGTTTCTTTCTGCTAATGAGTGAGCAATGTATTTTATTTCCCCATTTGTGCCTTCTAGTTGTTCCTATCCTTTCAAGCCAGGGGGTAGTAAAAGTAAGTTAAGTTCTTCTAAATAGCAAACGAAACTTGCTACAATCTCCTATCCCCATCCACGCTGGCAAATTATTTCATCACATCTGTAGCTTTTCCATTTATGCCTGAGGAGTTCTTCTGACAGCATTCATGACTTCGCTAAGCAAGGACTGGTTGGTATCTCCTGCACAAAAGATGGGCAAATCACATTACAACAGTAGGCAGGGGATGTATGGGCTTCCCAGC